ACCTAACGTTGCTTACGAGAACCAACTTGTTCAACGCTTATTTATGTGTGTAGATCCCCATAAACACTTGAAAACACTTGAATTGAGGGTGCAGGTGGCCCTTTTTCTTGCTGCATTATCGAGCATGAGGATTGCACGTTCGCCATGTACGGTTCGGTTCTCAACAAGGCACTTTGAGCAATTCACCTGAACAAGCCTATTTTTTGGAAAATAGGCATAACCCATTCCACCCGAATTGATGTTATGACAGTGCTACTGGTGTATTCTAACTCTCCTCTCTCCTCCTCCTCCTCTATCGCCTCCCCATTCTTTCAAATCCACTTTAACGTGACAGCCAATCAGCTACTTCACCCACACATTACTTCGCACACACTTTCAAGGTCAGTGAGCGGCTGAGCTTGGTGTAAGGTGTGAGCTCTGATGGCATATTTTGCTGTCAATGATCGTCATGTGTGGTGGATTCCTCCTTCCTTCCTTCCTTCCCTGTTAGTTCTCTTGCATTCTGTATCCTCTCAACACCCTTCACCCTTCCACCTTGGCGGTCTCTTCTTCAACATTTCAACTGGCATTGTGGCGGGTGCTGAGGTATGTCTTCAGTGCGAGTACCCTCTCCGACCACAGCCCTTCTCTAGCTTCACATTGATTATCTCCTTTATGGAGGAGACTAGACTGAGCAGGGCATAAGTTGAGGTGGCTGTCTCAACTCAGTTCCTATTTCCTGATGACCTTCGGGATGCTCACAAGGAATTTGGTAAAGTTGTGAATGTAAGCCTCAGTGTTGTCGGCGTAGCTATGAGAACCCATTTTCTTATCGCTTGGGGTTCGAAGTGGATGAGGTTGAAGGCGCAAAGATGCTAAGCCACTTGTTGGATAACTTATTTCTTGTTATAACATAAATTCACAATCCAATCCACTTGACTTCCACACTGAATATGAAATAGTCGGAGGTGTCTGCGTGTAAACTTTGCAGTCAGTTTCCACCGAAAATTGCATTCTTGAGAAGGGAGAGTTAAACATCTGTCCCTCAAAGCACTGGTGTTCATAAGTTTTAAAAATGTGTTAAATTATTGCCTTCTCTCTTTCCATGCCGCCACTTGGAGATGTATCATTGTTAGACAATAATTAGTGCCTTAAGTATGAAGGGATCTAAGAAAGTAATTGCAACGAAGACATTTACGATGTCGTGGAGACATGCGGGTTCGTATACCTGCCAGCTGGTTCCTTTCAATGGGACCTCGATGGGAGAGGGGACTCTGGCAAAGTGGGTGCGGCTAGAGCTGCACCATGACGAAGCCTGTGAGTCTTGTCATTAGAAAGACACTCTTCATCGTAGTGCTGTGGTGAGCAGGCGAGTCCCGTTTTACCCAAGCTCGGTAAAGTATTTTAAAGGGAGAGGATATGGAGTAGGCTTATCATCTGCATGTACTTAGGATTGCGATAATCTGTTTCCATTTGTCCCACTCCTTTGAATCTAGCATTGGCAGTCTTTCGATTTTCCATGAAGTTGTGTGAGCTAATTTGATGTTGGCTGTTGTTACAGTGGGTTACTGTCACCTTAGATATACCGTAGGGCATGAAGAGTCTTATCTTCTTACGCATTTAGTGCCTTTGACTTGTCACTTCGACCATTCTAAGCTATTTATGCGAGAATCTCTCATTATTTATGCAAGGCTATTTTACTCCGTAAAATGGCTTTTTGGAGACAAGATGATGAGGCTTTGTCCACCTCGCACTACGCTATCTAAGGAAGGAATTTTCTGAGGCAAGTTAGATGAGGGATTTGTTTCAAAAACGAGGTCAGAAACATTCATAGGCATATTTTCTCTAGAAACTTTCATTTTCCTACGTCGAATAAAGTTATTGTGCGATGCAGCATCAAAGTGTGTCATCTCTGGATATGGGGAACATCTT